GGAGGGGGACAAAAACTTGCCAGAGGCTGATGGGTTAACCCAGATATAGAGATGCTCGTGTCCTGGGCGAGGAGAGAGGCAGTGAGGAGGCACAGATTGACCGGTGATGATTATAGCTTAAATATCTCAACACAATCCTCTGGGTAGGAGTTTGTAGGCTCAGTGTTCTGCTAGGCACGAGAGAGGAGGGAGAGGTAAGAAAATGGCAAAGGACTAGCTTTGTGATGAATAAATGACGAAACAGAGGAGCCACAGACAGGGATGGGAAAGAGAAGACGATGGCTTTTTTTTTTTAACAAGTGGTGTTAGAGGACAGAAAGAAAGAGCCAGCCACTGGGTATACGCGGATGCAGAATTTGGGAGAGGAACAGAGAGGAGGCTCGGGCAGCCATGAGGATGTAAAGAGCACTTGAAGCTGAGGGCATGAGAATATTTCTCAAAACATGGCAAACATCAACTAGAGCCTAGGATGGCACATGAAGCGTGTCAATACTGCATGGCCAGAGGGGTAGGGGCATAATCAGACTGTTTTCTCCAAAGCAAAGAAGAAATAAACATGCAAAATAATTCAAGCTCTGAATATATCTTAATTTTTATATACTTGGGTAAAAATTGTATTTGAGAATAAAAATGGCTTTTTAAACATTAAGATGTATGAGTTATGCCATACAAAATACTTTGGGAAACAAAAATATTTAGATTCCAGCATTTGTACAAATATTTTCTTATCTTTGGGAGTAGTATTGCCAATTCTGTTGTAAATACTAAATACAGTAAACATATACAAGACTAGAGTGAAATTTTACTTCACGTACAACTCATGAAAGAGTTGTAAAACCAAAAGACTTATTGCTCACATAATTTATTCAGTTCCTAGTTTTTGACAAGAACAAGAATCTCTTTTGTTTTCCACTGCAAAAGTTAATATATTTATAAAAGGCAGTTTTAAAATATGTATATCATCCCACTATAAATGTAAATAATAAGTACAGTTATAGATTGTGAGCTACTTCCTTCTCCATAAAAGTAGTTACATTTATAAGGTCTTTATAAGAGTGAAATTACTGTGAATGTCTCTAAAAATGCCATTAGTCTCTCTAAAATGTTCACATTTCTAAAGCTTTTTGCCCTGAACACAGATACAATATATATTTACAGCAAATTTCTTCAGAGAGTTATAAATCTTCCATGCATATAAATTGATATTCACATAAACCTGTTTCTAAAATATAATTTCTAAAGTGCATAAATGATATCCTTGCAGGAGAACAATTTTTTAGAATAATTCTAGATGTCATATACTATCTTTCTTGGTGAATTAATTGAGATGCAATTTACTCAAAATCTTCTATTATCATAAATCTCTCAGTAGTTTTGTCAGTCTGAGTAAAAGAAGAGTATCTTGGTTTTGATGTCTTATATTCTAAAACAAAAGCCTCATCTACACTCAGTATTTCCAATTTTGCATCTAATTCTGGGTTGGTTGCCTTTGTCTTCTGGTCACTCTGCTGGACAATGGGCTATCACAGTGGACAACTCAAAGTCTGTTTTTCCGGAGCACGCATTTGAGTGGAGACACTACTTGACTAGGCTTAATGGAACAAAGTAGTAAAGACACATGATTTTCAGACACTTTCCTTAGTACTAAAATGTATCAGAAATAAGAAAATTAAAGGCAAGTCTAGCGAAGCAGAGGATAAAGATAATGTGTTTTAAAAACCTGCCTCATCTGCACATTGTAAATGGCCATTTCTGGAAACCTTTGAATAAGATATCTGTCTGTACCAATCTAGCCACCAGCAGTGGATCAGGACACACGTTGACTGATGATCCATACACACACGAGGCATTCACCTTTATGATTCGCAAAAATCTGCTGAACTAAGTAAAAGTCTCCCCTTTCTATAGATGCTTATCATTCTCAATAATTGGTGGCCCCAAGGTTGGGCTCTGTGGAAAAAGAACAGTCAAGGCTTGTTGAGTTCACAGTGAGTGGTGGGGCTGGTACCCAGCGCTGGCCCTTTCTATTTCAGTGAGAAGGCCATGGAGGCCTCAAAGCAAAGCTGGCATAATGCCTGCTATAGTTTGGATGTTTGTCTGCACCAAATCTCAAGTTGAATTGCAACCCCCAGTGTTGGAAGTGTGGCCTGGTGGGGGGCGATTGGGTTATAGGGCAGATGTCTCATGGCTCAGTGCTGAGTGAGTTCTCATAAGATCTCGTTGTTTAAGTGTGTGGCATCTGCCCCCACCCGATGCATACATCCCCCAACTCTCTTTCTGCTCCTGCTTCCACCGTGTGATGTGCCTGTTCCTGCTTCGCCTTCTGCCATGAGTCAAAGCTCCCTGAGGCCTGCCCAGAAGCCCAGCAGATACCAGTGCCATGCTTGTACAGCCTGCAGACTGTGAGCCAATGAAACCTCCTTTCTTGATAAATTACCCAGTCTCAGGAATTTATAACAATGCAAAAACTGCCAAATGCAATCCCTTAAATAAGCAGAATCAAATGCATGAGAAAATAGAAGGAAGTATAGGAAACCTTTAAAAAATGAAAGCTAGGGTGTGTGTACATTTTCGGGTCAACTGTTTTGTAGCTGGTTTTGAAACAATGAAGCAGTTGGGAAGTGTTTCTTAATTCACTTATCATGAATAAATGATGAATGTTGGAAACCTAGCTGGCACACTGCAGAGGGGGTAATAAAAACAATCTTAATTTCTTTGCATCTGACAAAGTAAACATGGCTTCTGAACCATATTTCTCATGTAAGTTCCTGACTGTGTTTCTCTAATTTGAAAGAAGAGATTAATAAAAGGTTGGGAAGTTTTTGGAATGTGACAGGTAAAGGCAGGTGATAACACTGATAGCCACTAATTCTCTCTGCCTTATCATTCAGTGATTCCTGTGTCTTATGACTTTTGAGGGACAGGAATCTCTAGGAAGCTTTCTGAAAGAAGGGGCAATTAGATTGGGCTCACGTTCCCTCTATCATGACGCATGGCATGTATCATGTGTGGCATATATGTTAATCATTAAAGGGTTTTCTATTGCTAAATCTAACTATATAAATTAACATTTAAAAATCCATTTTCATCACTCAAACTAATTACAGATTTTTTACCACATAATACAAATTTTATCTGGCTGATCTTGTCTCTCAATTCTTACTATATAGCATAGCTTTATTAGAAGCATAATTTCCTGGAGAGAAGCTTCCATTTCTGGCAGGGCACGGTGGCTCATGCCTGTGAATGCAACACTTTGGGAGGCCGAGGCAGGTGGATCACCTGAGGTCAGGAGTTCGAGACCAGCCTGGCCAGCATGCCAAAACGCTGTCTCCACTAAAAATAGAAAAAATTAGCCAGGTGTGGTGGTGAGTGCCTGTAGTCCCAGCTACTTGGGAGGCTGAGGCACAAGAACTGCTTGAACTCAGGAGGCGGAGGTTGCAGTGAGCTGAGATTGCACCACTGCACTACAGCCTGGGCGAAAGAGTAAGACTCCTTCATTAAAAAAAAAAAAAGAAGGTTCTATTTCTGCAGAGCAGGATTTCTTAGGGGCCTCTGGAAGGTCTATGCCTAATTTTCATAGAGGACTCAACCTGTGAAATGGTAGGGATACTTTTTGTGTCTATGCATTTCTGAGAAAAAGGTCAGTAGCTTCATCTGATTGCTTGAGGGATAAAATTTCTGATTCTAATCAGAATTTCGGATTCTAATCAGAATCTAATTCTTTATGCCTTGGTCAGTACAGCTTCCAGGATAAGAAAATAAACATCTAGATTCTCCTTATAAGTCAGGAAACATTGATTACCTTTAGACACGCTCAACATGGAGAGCCAAAGACTGCAATAGATACTTTATAATGAACAGTTGCAGAAACGTATACTCATTTCCCTGCTTTTCAGGCAGGTTTCATGTGAAAATAATGATACATTAATGTTCTTGTATCATTCTTTACCAAGCTTTACAAGACTTTAAGAAATTAGTGTTTTTAAAAGAAGAAACAGCTGTTTTAAAATTCGCCAACTTACACTTTTCTTCCTGCTCCTCCACGTTAATTATGACAATAACCCTGGAATAGCAAGCAACTCAAAAATAACTGGTAGAGGAGACGGTGCCACGGACGGCTCCGAAATTTAAAAGCATCGTGATGGAATATTATGAGCAAATATATTGAACCAATGGGAGAGCCTCGAAGAAACTGATACATTCCTAAAAGCACACAACCCATCAAGACTCAGTCAAGGAGAAATGAAAAGCTGGAACAGACCAGCAACAGATAAAGAGACTGAATCACCGTAGAAGCACAATTCAGGGATATTTAGTAGACCCTTAAATATATGTATTGAATACATGGATCTTTTTTTACAGGAGGTGCTGTCAAAACAATGTTCTTTTTTGTTTGAAAGAACTTCCCCATGCAATATGTTTTTTTCTAAAATACATGAAATGCAAACACTTTCAATTCTTTTGACAGTTACACTGCTGAAGTTTATGATAGATTATTTTACATAATGGTGAGTCTCTTAGAGATCTAACTTACTACAAATTTACTAGATGTGATTGTTACCCCAAAGTAATGTTCTGAAATGAACACATTAACTTAAATCTCCAAATATGCGTAAAACTAAGTTACTTGTCCTACTATTGCCATGAATAAAATATTAGCTGTAGAAAACATATAATTATTACAGATTCATGAAACTGTAAGCTTATGAAGTCTATATAATATGAAAAACATTTTAACTCCATGACAAATGTTTACAGATTTTGATTATTCAATGATTTGACTACAATATTCAGATACACAAGGAACATGTTTTTGTGTGCTCTTATATAAGCATTTTCCTTTAACCATAAAATTATTTGTTCAGTAGGAAGATACTATTAAAAGTCAAATTACAATAATGATTAGTACATAATTTAAAATCAAATCAAAATTGAATATGAAATTATTCATTAATTGTACAAAATTATTTTTAAAAGAATTCAGAAAATCACTCTACCTGGCCATATTTGGCTGCCAAATGGAGGGGAGTCCAATACTGATCATCTACTATGTTGAGGTCTCCACCATGTTCCAGGATAAGAGACACCACCTCCTTGTAGCCACTCGCACACGCCATGTGTAACTGCAGTGAAGAGACATCTTATTATCCATTTTTTTAAAAGTAGTGGTATTCATGCAGTTCACTCAGTGGTTTAAAGAGAGCTACTTAATGAAATGTTGGATCTAAAATACAGAGACCATAAAAACAAAAGAACATACATGTAATTTTATTTATTTGGTATAAGTGGGTGTAATTATCAGTCTTTGAAAGGATGCTTATGGTTATTCATTTTCCTTCTGACTCTGATAGTGTGCACTTTTTCATGTAATTCCCATCCCCCTCCGAGAGTTCCATTTCAATGCAATCTGAGTATTTTAAAATACAGAATATAATCATTGAAAAGCTTACCATTTCTTGCCCAAAGGTAAAATATTTGCTGATTAGCTCTATATTCCAGGCATTGAACTTGGTGCTATAGAAAGTCATTCAAAGAATAACTAAAAACAGGAAATGTGATCATTGTGATGCTTCTGTATGTGTAAAAGGCACAGGAACACTAAAAAGGATTAACTAATTCTGGTAGTGGCTTAAAAATCATTGTGTAGCTACCATTCTAACATTCTCCCAGTTTTTTAGTTTCTTTTTTAATTATGTTTTTGAGACAGGGTCTCTCTCTGTCACCTGGGCTGGAGTGCAGTGGTGGAATCATGTCTTACTGCAGCCTTAATCTCTGGGGCTCAAGTGATCCTTCCACCTCACCCTACTAAGTAGCTGGGAATACAGGTGCGTGCCACTAAACCCAGCTAATTTTGTTTGTTTGTTTGGTAGAGACTAGTTTTAACCATGTTGTGTGTTACACAGACTAGTCTTGAACTCCTGGGGTCAAGTAATCCATCTGACTTGGCCTCCCAAAGCGCTGGGGTTACAGGCATGAGCCACCACGTCTGGCCCCAGATTAGTTTTTTAATGGAATCTTAAGTTTAGAAATAAGGCCTTTGGAACAATAGTTTGGAGAATTTTTTACATTTTTCAGGTGAGGGAATTCCTGTTTCTAAGGTAGCAGCCTTTATTTCTATATCAACTCTCATCACACTCTAATGAGGTTACTAAGCAACTACATAATTTATTTTATAAACATAAGAATTAGGAAGAAGAAAACTATCATAAAAGAAAGAAAAAAACCTTAAAAGTAGTAAAATCAATGCCATCTTCTAGGTTTGATAGCATGGAATTTTATAGCTCTGTTCCATTGTGTTTTTATTACAAAGACAAAATTAAAGTCAAAAAGGCTTATTAAATGTGTACATTTTGATAAAATTTAACAAAAACATTTATTTTTATGCCTTTGGACCTAATCAGGCTCTTCAATCTACAGAGTGTAAATATATGTTTGTTTCTTGTAACTCAACTACATTAGAATAAATATATTCATCTAAATTAAGACACTGTTTCACATAGATTTTCCCAGGCTTGCTACATATAGAATTAATCCTATTAATATTCTAGGAAACAGTCCCAAAAATGATATATCCACAAGTATTTTAGAAAATATAATTTTATATACTTGCTATCCTAGAGAATTAATCTATTCATCTGCTTCTAAATTGATTCTACATTATTTGAATAATCAATAAATGATTGGCAGTTACTCTGTGCTATATGCAATAATCTGAATCTCAGAAGAAACTAATTTTTAGCATAAAGCGGAGTCTACAAATGGAATCAAGAATGAATCCATTTTCTGGTTAGCAATTGATACTAATGATCCCAAGTTCACAGGGCCAATCCCTGCAAGATTAGATTTGCTTTCCATAAAGCAAAAATTGGCTCTCACCATTTAGAACTTAGTCCAACCCTGGGCCAGTCATCACAAGCACAGCTAGGAAGGAAGACTAGAAGTCCTAGCTAACTCACTAGAGACTCCATCCGAAGTTTTACTACCAGTAACCTTTGTGGACGCTGGCAAGTTTACTTCTAGGTAATCCCAAAACCAAAATAAACAAACAAATGAAAACCCTAATTGAATACCTCTACTTAATCACATGAGATAACCAACTTTTCTATTTTCATAATACAATAGCAGGAGGTAAGAGCATTATCTTCAGTCTACAGGCAATCAACTTCTGAATCCGTAAGCAAACGCTAGCCCCCATGGGATATAGTTTCTCATCACTAAGAACATGTTAGACTTAGAGTTAAAAGATTTGAAAAAACAAAACAAAACAAAAAAAACCCAAAACACCAAAAATACCTATTTATGAAATGGAATTGATGCTCCTACTACTTGTCCTGACTATGACTGGAGGATACCAGGTGCCCAAATGTAAGTGTTGATCACTACCGCATCTCAGAACATTCCTCTCCTGCTACTTTAAGGGTCTTGTGAGAAACACGGAGATGGTGATCATTTCTGCCGTGAACCAGCAGCAGCGTATTTGCAAACACAGTTCCCACAAAAATTACAATTTGGAAACCACCTATGTAGCTACAAAGCAGGACAGGTGGTTGGAGAGGCTTCTAAAACATTAGGTATAAAAGCTGTGAGTTATTTCTTCTAATCTTTACCATCTGTGATATGATTGTTGCCCTTATTTTGCAGATGGAGAAGCAGTGGTTTAGCATTTAGGTAACTGACCCAAGGAAGAAGCATGGTCACTGAGATCTGAGGCCATGCTCTGCAGCCTCCAGCACTCAGACTTGAAATAGCACAGAAGAGTGGACACGCAGTCACACAGTGAAGTCAAGCCACGAGGATAACACTACCATACTGAGGCTCCTAATACATCTTGCATTCACACCATCATTTTTGTATGTTAATATAATTTTTTTCTTCTTTCTGTAAATCACTTCTATGTCCCTCACCCTTCCACATACTAATTTTATATTAACATTTAGTCTCTGGATGATACACAATATCTATATGCTTGCTTCAGTTTTCCCATGGCTCTCCATCAGTGCAGGCACAGTCTTGTTTGGTGAATGTGGCATATTGCCTCCTGGTGTGCTTTGCAAAACCATCACCAAGTCTTAGTGCTTTCCCAGCTATGAAAGCACAGGAGAATCCCAGGCTCCACATTTGGGAGACTGAGTCTACTCTAGAAGGGATCTCCTCTAAAACTGCCCCCCAACACACACATATTCAGTGTGACGTAGGCCTGGGAAAGACAGACAACAGGGTCATTCGGTCATTAGAACATCTTCTCTTTTTATGATCCCATATAAGGATAAGTTTTCACTGCATCAGGTCAAAGCCCCCAGCACTGTGCCCATTTCCTATTACAGCATCTCAGTCTTTGACAGCCTGTTCATTTACTGATAGTGTTAATCGCTAGAAAACATGCTATACCAATGATTTCTGAAATTTGAGATTTTCCATTTATTTTCCCAAATAAAAGACAGTTCTGATATTTGAAAAATAGTACCTCAACCCAATATTTATAGAAATTAAAATAAGTAGCATTATCATTGTTTTCAGTGTTGGTTCTCAGCTGAATCAATCGCTCTGGACAGGGTTTAAGGCAGCACAGAGCCAATGTCCACAGATTAAATACCAAGAGGGCCCTGCCTGGGTTTTAAGAGCAACACATTCTTGGGCCCTTTCAAGCATGTATTCGAGTAAAATCCAGAAAGCTTTTTCTAACTTTAAATTACTTTTTATTTATTTTTCAGAGTTTAAAATATGTAAAATATAAAAAGACATTAAAGATACTGACAATTGGACTTTCTGGATAAACGCTTTGCTTTTCAGATTCTGGTGATTTCTTTCTATTTGACGATGCAACTCCCTTTATAAAAGCAGGACCCTCAAACAACTGAATAACAAGAAAACAAATAACCCAGTTTAAAAATGGCCCAAGGACTTGAACAGACACTTGTCGAAAGAAGATATATAATTGGCTAATGGGCTGACGCAAAAATGCTCAGCATTACTCAACATTAGGGAGCTGCAAATTAAAACCACAATGAAATATCACCACATACCTGTTCGGATGGCTGTTTTAAAAGATGACAAGTAAGTGTTGGCAAGGATGCAGAGAAAGGGGAATATCTGTATGTTACTGGTAGAAATGTAAGTTAGTATAACCATTATAGAAAATGGTATAGATGTTTCTCAAAAAACTAAAAATACAGCTACCTTATGATCCGGAAACCCCACTCCAGGATATATCCTAACGAATGGAAGTCACTATGTCATAGGGATATTCATACTCCCATGCTCACTGCAGCACTATTCGTAACAGCCAAGTTCAGTGTTCATCAAGAGGTAAATACATAAAAATGTAGTATATATACGTAATGGAATACTATTCACTCTTCAAAAAGAAAGAAACCCTGTCATTTGAAGCAATGTGGATGAAACTGAAGTCCATTATGTTAAGTGAAATAAGTCAGGCACAGAAAGACAAATACTGCATGATCTCGCTTCTATGTGAAATCTAAATCAGTAAAACTCATAAAAGTAGAGAGAAGAATGATGGTTGCCAGGGACTAGGGGAGGGGAAGAGAGAAAATGAAGAGTTGTTGGTCAAAGGGTGCAAAGTTTCAACTAGACAAGAGAAATATGTTTTGAGATCCATTGCAAAGCAGGATGACTACTGTCAATAAAAAATGTATTATACATTTTAAAACAACTAAGAATACATTTCAAATGTCTCAACAAAAAAGAAAAGCAGTGGATAGGTTAACTTAGTGTGATTTAACCATTTCACACTGTATACATATATCAAAACACCACATTGTACCCCATAAATGCATATAAGTATTATTTGTCAATTTAAAATCATATTAAATAAAATTAGAATCACTGTGTACCTAGCAATTTATTTTATTCAAATATAGTTCATATTTTCCATGCTGTTGAATGTTTGGATCCCTTAAAGGCTAACTTTGATGGAGAGCTCACTGTGTACGAACTAGACAATAAGCTGAGTGATTTACATGCACGGCCTCCTTGGGCCTGGTTATCTTATAATGTGGCACTCTTATTATTCCAGCTTAAAATATGAGAAGATGATAACTCCGAGTTTAAGAAGCCAGCACAAGTCACAGCTTGGAAATGATGGAGACTTCCAGGATGAGCA